ACACACACACACACACACACACACACACACACACACACACACACACAAAGTTTGAATTTAATTTCTGCCTAAAAGTTAGAAATACTTACCTGGGGGCTCAGAGCAATTGTGATTGAACTCATAATTTTACATCTGAAATAAACTCCTGAAAGCCAAATGGGAATAAACCTCAGGGACCTGAGCCTCTAAGCTTAAATGAACTAATTAGTGTAATAGTGTTACATTTAAATATTTGGGAACTTTTTAATTGTACATGGTTAGGCTATAACAATATATGATGCTACCTAAATTAATATACAAATTTAATACCATACCAAGAGATTTTATAAATCTGGACAAAATACATTTCAAAATGTATTTTAGAGAAACAAAAGGTAAAGAATTTCCAGGGAAATAATGAAGAAAGCAGGAAGGAACAGAGTCTAGTAGTATCAAATCTCAAATCATATTATAAAGTAGTAATCATTGAAATAACTTGATACTGGCTTTAAAAATCCCTTAAATCTTAATAGAAAATTTGATCAATAGAAGAGATTAAACATGACCCAGAAGCAACTGAATGGCTCAAAAACACCAATGACTAGACTAAGGTCTTCCTATTTGACAACAAATGTTTGGAAAGGTGAAAAGCAGTATAGCAGAACAGGTTTAGACTGTCAGTTGTTTTTCCAGTTATATCTGACTCTGCGTGGCTCCACTTGGGGTTTGCTTGGCAGAGATATGGGAGTAGTTTGCCATTTCCTTCTCTACCTCTTTTTGCAGATATGGAAACTTAGGCAAACAGGGTTATATGACTTGCCCAGGGTCACACAGCAACTAAATGTCAAGCTCTATTTGAAGTCATAAAGATGAATCTTCCTGATTTCATATCCAGCATTCTATACACTGTGTCATCTAGCTTCCTGGTTTAGATTGCATGTCACCATATACCACAATAAATTCCTAATAAATATATTAAATATAAATGACTATCTTATTTTTTAAAAAATTAGAGGGCAAAAGAATATACCTTTTACAACTATGGCTGGTGGGCAGAATTCTTACATAAACATAAGGGAAAAAGATGCATGAACGAATGAATGAGTGAATAAGTATTTATTAAGCAGTTACTACATGCCAAACACAATACTAAATCCCGAAGATACGAACACAAAAGCAAAGACAGTCCTGGACCTGGAGGAGTTTCTTTTAATAAGGAGAGATATCACATGTAGGGGATTGGTGGCCAGGAAAATTTTGGTTTGGAAAGTTACAGTGAAAATGAGTAGATCAAGATACTTTCTATGGGCAATGGCATGACTGATGTAATGACTTACATGCATGGCTGCTGTTAGGAAGATGGCTGGGGAATAAAATGAAGCATTCTTGGAGCAGTTCAGATATAATGAGCCACACGAGGCACTCACCAATCAAGATAGGAGGGTTCAAGGCAAGAGTAATGGAGCCAAAAGGGAGAGATATTCCAGTGTCTGATCTCCACTCTGGACAATCAGGCGGATGGTGGGAAGATGGCCAGGTTGCAAAGTAACACGTAGCTAGAGACTCTCTGGATACAAGTGAGCTTCCCGCACTTTCTCTCCCGTACATTCGCACCCGCCTTCAGGCCCTGCCCCCTAGCACTTCCGGCCCGCCCGCGCCTACCTTCCCTTGCCGCTTCGCACTTCCGGTCCGGCGTGCGCCTGCCCGCTAGCTTTAGCTTTGAAACGGCAGGTTGGCTGGGCGGTTTGCTCCCGCTGAGTCAGCCACCGAGGGGAGACCGGTGCGCCATGTTCTACCTCGTGGCCCTGCTTGCAGGGCTCAGTAGGCTGCTAATATTGGGGCTCGGTGAGTTTTGGAGGAGCCGGGGACTTTGATCACATGGGACGCCTTAAGAAGAAAGCGCTTTGCAAAAGAGCGCCCCTAGGTTCAAGTGCTGGAGCTGTGACTTTAGGATCCCCCTGACCTTGCTGCTGTGGGCCTCAAGTGTCCTCATCTTTGAAATGGGGGCCGTGAGGGAGGGATAATTGTGAGCACTAGATGATACCCTAAAGGCCCCAGCTCGTAATCTTCAGAGCATCAGTGGAAACCCTCTGGTCTCATCTGTGCAGGAGCCCTGCATTCCCCTGAGCTTGTGCTCCAGATGCCCCTCCCAACTTCAGTTTCTCATCCGTAAAATATATGACCTCATAGGGCTATTGTAGAAAACCCTCGCAAACCTTCAGGGGCTCGGAAAATGTGCAAATTATCGTTAAGTCAAGGGGCTCCATCACCTTTGGCACCCCTGCTTTATCGCAGAGACATTTTTACATCGCGTTCACTTTAGAGGCAGGGTTACTAGGTCAGTAGATTAGGGGGAAGATTTGACGAGTATAACTGTATGATATATAATTATATATTGTAAAAGTATAATTGGGTAGATTCTAAGCTAACTGAAGAAACTAAAAAGAATAGTCCCTAACGATTGGATGTCAACTTTTAAAGCGCTTCGCAGCGTGGGCCCTTCTTGAGGTCCAGCTGACAATGGCCTCCTTGTTGTTCCTGGATCCCAGGACACTCCCCCTGACTCTGAGTATTTTCTCTAGCTGTGCCCCCTGGTTGGCCTCTCCTTCCTCACCTCTTGTCTCCTAGCTTCCTTGGTTTCTTTCAAGTCCCAGTTGAAATTCTACCTCCCACAAGAAGCCTTTCCCAGTCTTCCTTAATCTTCTTGTCTTCTGAGATTATCATCAGTTCATTCTTTATCCTGTTTGTAGATAGCTGTTTGCATGTTGCTTTTCTCATTAGACTGAGGTCCTTGAGACCAAGAACTTTTTTGTTTTGTTGTATTTTATTTTATTTTTTTATTTACTTTCTTTGTATCCCCAGGGCTTAGCACAGACAGTGTCTGGCACATAGGAGATGCTTAATAAAACAGTGCATATCAATAAGTTGGTTATAACAAAACATGTTTGTACTTTTGTTCCATAAATTACTTCCTTTAAGAAAATGATTGCACTGAAATTCTTTTTCCCAAACCAAAGTAAAGATATTTCTGATTTAGTTTCAGTAATTAATGGAATAACAGCTAAGTCCCTCAGTCAGTTGAACCAGTACCCAATTATTTTTACATTACTTTGAAACATTTAAGGACCTTATTTCATACAGATATATATCTAGTAACAGGCAGATGACTAGGCCTAATACTCATTTACTAAGTTGTTTAGTGTATAGAAAGGACTATTTCAGGCTGAATAGCTCAGATCTTAAACACACATTTTATTATAGTGGCTTAGATGTATTCCAGGCTTAGTCTATGGGATAATGATTAACATTGTGTTTGTACCTTTGTTTCACAAACTTCTTTTCCCTTTGTCTAATTATCCCCATACTGTTAAGAAATAATGTTCTATTCCATGGATTTGGTCTTTCACGTGACTATGCAGGCAGGCAGAAGACAAACCTGAGTACTAATTTACCTAGTTGTTTGGGATGTGGAATGACTACATATTCAGATTGAAAACAGCAAGATCTCACATAATTACCAGGATTATAGATTATAGATTATAATCCATTGTCCAGTAGACTGTAGGTTATAGTCCATTGTCAGTTGGACCTCAGATTAAGAAGAGGGTAATAAAGTGTAAGAAGGGGCCAGGCTGTGAAGGGCTTTAAAAGTTGTCATCCTCTCGTTGTGGACTATTCTTTTTATTTTCTTCAGTTAGCTTAGAACCTATGCAATTATACCTATGATAATTCTAGACCACATCTGTTCAGCTTGTCCACAAGGACAGCATAAAAAGCCTCGTCACTTGCTCTGATCATAGAAATTTGCTCTAAAAGGAAAATGCAAGAATATGATTGTATCAAATATGACAGGATAAAACATCCTTGGCTCTGTTTGAATTTAGATAAGAGTCACCACTAACCATGCAGTATCAGTTCCACCTCATAGCCAGACTCAGAAATAGTCAGGTGGGAAACATTACTTTTCAAAGGAACACGATTGAGGAACTGAGCCAGGAGAATCCCAGCTTGAACTGATGCCAAGATTGTCTTCTTAGCTTTTCCCAGAAACAAACCTCCGTCTGTAACAGGATCACATTCCCTCTGAGTAGCTTGTGGCATTTCTCTCAAATACTGATTTAATGCAGACAGCTATACCTAGATTCAAACTCACAATAAGATCAGTGTAGTCTAAATTGTTTTTGCTCTTAGAGAGTTGCAATAAGCACATAAACTTCCAAATTCTGAACAAGCCAAGGTCATTGTATAGGAACTCCATAACCCAAACAGGCTCTTTTTTCTGGAGCTGATGACCTTGCCCACCAGATGGTTTCTGGGGATCTGGCAAGTTTACAAAATAAGGGGAATCAGCAGGGACCTCAAAGAAGGGCCTGGTCTGCCTGTCCACTCCATAAAACTCTTCCTCTAGACTGATGAAAGCCACATATTTTCTACATAGCAGCCCACTATTTTTAATCTTAATTTAATTTGTTTTACTCTGCTTTTTTTTTCCTTCACAGGGTGTCTTTCAGGGTTCCCATATTTTATTTTTAGGATCCCAGTATGTGGCAGCTGGCACATATGGTCTCTAGTCACCCCTCATAGCCCTACATTGGAGGCGACATTGGCTGTCTTCCTAGGTGGGGCTGGCTTGGGGGTGGTGAGATTAGGAAGTATCCACCCTGTCCACCCTTAGAGCTGCTGTGGGACCAGTTTTGCATTTTAACATTATAACAATAACCCCAAATCTTAGTTAACAATCTTAGATTTTTCATAAGTGAGAGCCAAATTATTTTAGCTGTAACTTCCTCTTAATTATAGGCAAAGGTGGAAGTACCCTGTTTACTAAATGGCAGTTACAAAACATAAGACAGGGTTAGCAGGGCTTAATAAAATAACAACTGGTTTTAAACAATTTTGTCCACTGTCTTCTAGTTTTCACAAAATTCAGATTAAAAAATTCTGTGTCTAACACCATTTCTGGCTCATAATGGTCACTCAAATTTTACAATATAAGAGAATTTTACAATTCAATTTAGAAATACAATAATAATACAAACAATAAACTTCAAATAACATTAATTACATTTCCAAATTATCACATATAAAAATTATTGATGGAAAGTTGGGCTTACCAAGTGCAGAGGCTGGCTTTTTACCTTGTACTGCCCAGACTCATCTCTGTTTCCCTCTCCCCAACAGTTGCAGACACTGCTGAGGCTGAGGCTGCTTGCCGAGAGGGGTGGGCTTCAGGGTGTCTCTCTTGCCAGTAGGGCCCTGCTGTAGCTGCTGTGCCTACCCCCTCTCCTTTTGCCAGGTGGGGGAGGGTGACTCAAATTCCCTACCATTCTCCAGCACTCTCTTTTCTTAATCTGATCTGGGATGAGAGGGGTTAACAGAATCTGCTAAGATGTTTTTCAGTAGTTTTAACTTTTCAGTATAGCTTTAGCCCAGTCAGAGCCAGGATGACAGGGAGAAGTGTCTCAAGAATTTTTGAACTTCTACTCAAGTAAATTTCACTTTTGTGTCCACACTTAAAAACTTTTCGAGAGTGGGAGATTTGAACCTGCCAGTCAAGGTGAGTGGGACAAATGGAAAAATCAGTGGTGCCTCGTCCCCTCTTCCCCGTACTGAGAGCTCAAAAATTTCATCTCTGAGGTGTCTCTATTCAGATCTACGCATTTTCCCAATTTATCTTGGTGTTAAATAGTATAATAAATTCTGTCTTATCTTAAACATCAAATTAGGAGAGACAACATTTCACTTGAAATGTAACCAGAATGAATTCAATTGCCTGGATCTATGTTCCAAATGGTATTACACAGATTCTGGGGTTAGGATTTTAATACAACTGTAGTATTATATTTTACACAAATGTACCCCAATTATCACACTTACAAGCATGTTTAATTTAGTTCAAATCTGGGTTCTAGAGTCATAGCTCTCTCTGATTTTTTTCTTTCTTTTTTTAAAAAATTTATTTTTAGTTTTCAACAATCTATACACTTTTGAGTTTTAAATTTTTCTCCCTCTCTTTCCCCCCCTCACTCCCCAAGATGGTGTGCAGTCTGATATAGGCTCTCTATATAGCTTCCTATTAAACATATTTTCACATTAGTCATGTTGTAAGGAAGAATTAGAACCAATAGGAGGAACCACAAGAAAGAGGAAACAAAACAAAATCGAAGAAAAAAAAAGCAAATAGTACGCTTCAATCTGCATTCAAATTCCATAGTTCTTTGTCTGGATGTGGATAGTATTTATCATACATCATGAGACTTTTGGAGATCTTTGCGTTGCTGAGAAAGGCTAAGTCTATCAAAAGTAGTCCCCATGAACGTGTTACTGTGTACAACATTCTTCTGGTTCTGCTCACTTCGCTCAGCATCAGTCCATGCACGTCTTTCCAGGTTTTTCTGAAGTCTGCTTGCTCATCATTTCTTGATTTCTTGATCATTTCTTGAACACATTGGCAAGTGGTGGTTTTCCAAGCCAGTTTCCACTGGTTCCCCTGACTGTACTGAGCCACTCAGGGGTCCTAGTGTTCGTGCTTCCCTGTTCTACTACTCTGGGGTTCAGGATCTTCCCCTGGTGTGCTGAGGTGGGGCTTTCTGCTGGCTTGCTGGAACACCTCCTGTTCTGTACTGTTCCCCCTCCCCCAGAGCAAGAGGGGCCTTTCACGTTAATTCCCCAAGCTTCCTGGGCTACTTGGCTGCTGCACCCCATCTCTCTACTGGTTCATCTGTTCCAGGGTTTTTCCTGGGGCAATGTTTTCTGGGCTTTCAGAGGTCACTAAGGAGGGTAAGAGCAACTTATTTCTTGATGTGCTATCTTGGCTCCTGGAAAGTCTTATCAACTTAACATGCTTAGCAGACAAGGACTAAAAACTCTGTAATTTGAGGAAAACACCTATTCCTAGGGCTTACCAAGATTCTGATGCTATTTACATATGACATTAAGTTTAAGTACTCTGAAATCACAGCTTTTTTTTAATTATTGTTATTTAGGTTTGTAATTGTATTAAGAGGGTCATACAGGTTCCGATTAACATTTCTGACTGCATTAAAAGAGGTATCGTGATATAGCACACAGGAAGCCAGCCTCAGATTCAATAGGACCTTGTTTTCTATGATTTCTTAAGATGAATAGGAGTCATAATTTAGTCAAGTTTCCAATTTTAACAAACATACTGATTTAAAAGTTATTTAAAATTTCACCAGCACTTAATTTTAGTTTGTAAGACTCCCTAAATTCTAGGGAGATATTCCAGTCAAACTCAATTACATTGATTCACACAAAACTTTTCTCTTTTTTTTGGTGACCCAGGAAAGGATTAAGTGCTATTTCTATTGAAACCTGCCTCTCTTTGATCAGTGAAATGACCCTTTTTCCCTTAGATAGATCTGAGGGGAGAAGTTTACCCCTTCCTCTTTTTTTTTTATCTGTCTTTCCACATCCAGAATTTGGCCAGAGTCCAAGAATGTAGAGAGCGAGAAGGTTTTTTCCAACAACTTTTCTTTAAGAGACACTCTTCAGTCTTTCCAGACCAGGCACAGTTTTTTCTTTTGTGGCTGGCTGCATTTTAAACTTTACAAGGTGACAGACTCAGAGATTTTCACACAGACATAGAGCAGACAAATACAAACAGAAAGCACAGATAATGGTAACTTTTCTTGGTCTTCTAGATTGTATTGAGACAAGGCTCAATTACAGTTTAATAGTCCCGTGAGATGTGAGCTGGGACTGAATGCCCGTAAGCCTAAGGAAATCTCCTATATACCCATGTTTATCTCTTCAGTGGCATCCTACCAGAAGGATGAAGGGAAAAAAAATGAGTTCAGAAAGAACTCCCCGAGGAATTCCCAGAGTGTCCTATGTTTAGAAGAATTTTCCAGGCTGCAAGGGCCTGAGTGCTAGGGCCCAAAAGATCCAGTCAAGCCTTCCTAGGTGCTTGAAGGATCTCCTAGCTAAGAGAAGGGGAAAAGATAGGCTGACTTTTGAATTAGAGGGGGTCAAAATCAAAGACTCTGCTCCGTGGGGGAGGAGGGGTCAGAATCAGAGACTCTGCCTCCCCAGGGATGCCAAAAACTGCTGCAGTTTCATAGTGTATTTTGGGGTCATCTCAAAGAATTCAGAGTCAGACCACCTCTAATCCAAGTATAGGTATTTACTGAGGATTGACTCCCTTCAGAAGTGGGCTAGGTTCTAAGAGGTACCAGCAACTTTGTAAGACAACACAAGCAAATTTATAGTGTAATGATGCTGATTACACAACAGAAATGATGAATGTTAAAAAGGCAGAGGGGGTTTGTTAAGGGATTAGGTAATGGTGAGGGATCCCTCCTATGGTTCGGTGGTCAAACATCCTGGTCATGCTGCTTTCTGATTGGCTATCTATTGTGGTCCTGTCTCATCAAGATGGGTAGTTAGGTATTGTGGTCCTGTCTTAGGCTAAATGGATGATATGGTTGTGGTTGAGTACAAGGACACATCTGTTCAAATATGTGAATTGGATCTAGGGACAGTGGCTTTATTGAGTTTGGGGACTTGTGAGTGGTTAAAGCCAGATTGTGTGGTTAAATCAAGGCATGCCTGTTGTTCAGTGAGGCCCACAAGGAAGTTAGAATATTGGTACTGGGGGCAGCTTTATTAGGGTCATTCTTGACTTCTCCCTTATCCTTCCACATCTAATCCATTATCAATTTCTATCAATTCAACTACTACAAAATCTCTTGAATCTGTCACCTTTTCTCTAATCGACTAACCACTACTCTAGTTTGAGAAGTCATCATTTATTGCTAGGATTATTGTAACATCCCATTTCCAGCCTCAAATGATTTATTCAACCTGTTTCTCACACCTGGAATGTACTTCTCTCTTTTCTCTGTCTTTTGAATTCCTTGTCATTCTCCTAACCATTAGTGCCCCCTACCTTCTCCAATTACCTTGTATTCCAATCTGTGTACATGCTGTATTCTACCATTAGAATATAAACTCTTTGAAGGTAGGGACTGTTTTATTTTTGTTGTACACCCATTGTACAAATGCCTGGTACAATTGCTTTGTATATATGAGATGCTTCTTGTTTAATTGAATTTCATTTAGGGCACATAAAGTTGGAAGATTAAGAAAAAAGAGAGACACTGGGGAGGAGGGCAGAGTTGGGTAGAATAAGGAGAAACTAAGGGAAACATTAGACAAATGGGAAATGGAAGAAGAAGAAAGCAAAGTCAATAAAGAGTGAAAGGAAAACAGTGATAAGAGAAAAAGGATTGGGTAAATGGAGTATTTAATAAACATTTTATTGGACACTCACCATTGATGGAGTCATAAGGTAGGGTCTGCTATCTCACTGCTGTAACTATGGAAGTGGAAAATAGAAAGCAGTCTTTTTCCTCTACTTTTTAACTTGTACTTGTATGTGGCTCCAATATTTGTATAGTAGCAGGTGGTGAAGATGCATCGGTGTAAGAAAGATGCAAGAAAAGGTTAGTGGTAAGTGGGAGTGAAGGTAGAGAAAGGACCCCTGCTTGTATCCTGGCTGGAAAACACTACTTTTTCAGTCAATTGTAAAGAAATGGAAGATCACAGACCTGGAGAGAATAGTGAGAAGTAATGAGTCAAAACAAGGGAAAACTGTAAGAATTATAAGAATCTTACTGGCATACATTTTGCCATAAGAGGTCTAATTTCAGAGACAAATGGGGGTAATATGTAGAAAAGGTTAAACTGGTCATACCATTAAGGAAACTTAGAAATGAAGAATACTTTGGAACTTATAAGGGGAAAACAGAGAACTGGTAGGTCCTGAACTGAGGTTGTTTTAGCAGATAATAAAAAACTTGTTTACTTTCTCCAGATTCTCAACAGTCATTCATAGAGATCACGGTTCCAGAGGAGATCCTATCAAATTCAAGTGATTCAGACTCAGAATATGTAAGGAACAGAATTACTCAAAATTCTAAGTATGATATTAATTCTTATATCTTTAATTGCACCAAGAAACCTAGTAACTCTCAATAAGTAAGGCTATCAACATATATGATCACTTAAAAGGAACATAAATTTACCTATCAGCTTCATTGTGGGACAATGGGAGTAAACAAATTGTGGGTTTTTGAAATAATTTAGATAAGATCTCTATATCACAAATGAAGTGGAGAACTGAGGTATTACATATTATATATCTTACTCTCTCCCTGAGAAAAACCTAATATTTTTCACTGGAAAATCCAGTTATTTGAGAGGGAAAATATTTGGCTTGATTTTATATATAAAATTATATTAATTCATGTTACTTTCTTTATATAATGACTTTAAGAGTATTGTAGTAATAATATGTTAAAATAGTGTTCTGAAATAGTTAATGTATCTTCATAAATTCCTTACTACTGTGGCATAGCTTTTACTATGTAATTTATTTGCTGGGAAAGATAGAGAAAAATAATTATTGCTGGTTAACAATTTTTTTCTGTATTCATTACAGCAATTATACTCTTTTATACTAAAAATACTCTAGTGCCTAATTGTTGGTCTGAGTCTGGTTCCATATGGCAGACATTGGCTTCCTTGCCATTCCTCTAACATAATACTTCCATCTCCTGACTCCAGGAATTCTTCCTGCCCTCCCCACCCCAACCCCCCAACTACCAACCCTCATCTTCCCATGCTGAATACTCTCTCGTCATCTCTGCCCCTGGCTTCTCTGATTTCCTAAAGTCCCTCCTTCTACACCAAGCCTTTCTCAGTCCTTGCTAATTTTTGTACTTTCTCTCAGGTTAATTATCTCCAACTTATCCTGTCTCTATCTTCTTTATAGATAGCTGTTTGCGTAATGTCTCCTCCATTAGACTCTGAGCTCCTTGAAAAGAAGGAGTATTTAAAAAAATTAGATTATTTTTAAAAATTATTTTTGCTTTTCTTTGTATCTCCAACACTTAGCACAGTGCTTGGCACATAATGTGTACTTAATAAATGCTTTTTGACTTGACTCAATTGCTCTCTATGAAGTAGTCTAGCTAATTATAGAGTGGCTTATTCTTAGCTAGTTGGCCACCAGGTGATAATTTATCTTACTATTGTTACCTGTACAACAGATAAAAATATAAAATGGCTCTCAAAACCTGTGCCATAAAAATACAGATGGCCTCCTTCCACTTCCATAGAAATATAAAATGTTTTCCTTTTGTACCAGCAGTGATAGTGGCAGAAGGAGGGGAGAAGGTGTAAGAATCTGAGTTTTATAGATTATCCATGGACATTAACTTTTTTGGGGTGTTTTTGAGAGGCAATTGGGGTTAACAGGGTCACACAGATAATAAATGTCAAATGTCTGATGCTGGATTTGAACTCAGGTCCTCCTGACTCTAGGTCTGGTTCTGTATCTACTGTGCCACGTAGCTGCCTTGACATTGACTTTTAGTGCTCTTAACATGAGGTCTTTGCGAAATGACCAGCAAATTAATATAAACAGAAACATATTCATATTGGCATTTATGCTATAAATGAAATGAGAAGGCATAAATAAGTTTGCTGTTAAATGAAAGGAAAGCTCGCAGAAGTGATTTGGCAGAATTGGTCATGCACCCAAAGGCATTAAGAGCTATCATTTAATGGAACAGTTTATCTCCCCTTGCAATGATCGTGATAACCATAAAAAACAGACTACCTTGAAGATAATTGCAGCTCATTGCTGCTCAACATCTATCATAGAGGATGAAGAAGTATGTTAAGGGGTCCCCTGAATGTTGCCATATTTTCTAGAAACACTGGACCTAGTGTATACACGAGGCCCTGAACATGTCAAAGATAAAGTGTTCCCCCCAGCCCCAGCCAGCTGGCATAATTTCTTGTTGCACCCCAAGCTGGACTCCCATGTGTCCTTGAGAGTCAAGACAGGCACCAATCAGTCAACACTAGGCTGAGAAACTACTTGTGCATCTGAGACCCTTGTAGATAAGCAGATCCTCCTATCTTTATGGGCTAGGGAGGGAAAAGAATGCTGCTTTTGCCATGGCTTTGTTACTCCTCTTTGGGAGGGCTTTTGTCCTTTTCCTACCTTTATTGCATCTTTCCCCTTCCCATGCCACTCCCCTTTAGGAGGAGATTTCTATTTCCCCTCCTTCCTTTGTTGTATTGTCATAAATATACAAAGTAGTGTATGGATTGTGAACTCTTTGCTCTGGCTTTGGGTTCCACATTCATGTTCATTTCTCTTGTAATAAGTGTAGTTGCAACACAGTGTCTCATGGACTTGTGTTATTGTGCTTGGTTAACAAGTAGAAAAATTACCTAAAGAACCTGAAAAGATTTTCCAAACTGGATGTATGCTTTAATATTTAGTAATTTCAAAGAAAGTTGGGAAATAGAGTTTAGGTCTAAGGAATAAAATGAAAGAGGTCATCACAATGATTCACCAGTATGTCATGAAAGACAATTTTTTCAAGAATGAAAATAGGAAGATGTTGGTTGTGGCAAGCATTAAATAGGGATAGGGACTGGACCTATGATTTCACTGATATATAGAACTCCCAAATGAGTAAGCCCCCTCCACTAAATGTAGATCAGCATTGAGTAACATTACCAAAAAATAGAAATAACTGCCTTAAGAGACAAGAAACAACTAGTTTAGCTATGTGAAAGTAATAACTTTAAGATCCATAAAGCCTTCCAAGATTTCAGCTGGGAGGAATCTGTCATCAATTTTTTCAGAACATTTTGCACAGACCTCTTCTTTATAATTATTGTATTATAGTTATTTATTTAAAAGTTTCTTCTATTACATCATACAATCATAGATTTAGACCTGGACAGGGTCTCAGAAGTCATCAAATCCAACCTTTTATTTTACATTTGAGGAAATTGAGGCCAAGAAAGATTAAATAGCCTGACCAGAGTCACATATCTACTAACTGTCTTGAGGTAGAATTTAAACTCCAGAATCCAAGTCTATTACTTTATCTACTGTATCATGCTGGTTCTTTAGATTTTAGGTTCCTTAAGGTCAGGGAGTATATCTTTTTTTTAACCTTTGTATCTTTTTTTCTACTCTGGATTTACTCTTCCAACCCACAGGAACATTAGCAAATCAGATTCCTAGAGAGAGGGAGGCCACATTTTCCCTTCAAAGTTCTAGGATACCTCTGAAGGTTTGTGGGGGACTTTTTCTAATGCTGTCTAATGTTATCATGTCAAGTTCCCATTCTTCCTGTGTTCTTTCTAAAGTCAACTACCAGCTATTACTTCCCCAGTTTAATTTGACCAATTAACACTAGTTGGCTTTTTACAAAGGGACGTTTCCTTTGAAAATAGATCAAGAACAGAAGTATAAACCTTTTCCCTCAATACCTGGAGCACACTCTCCCCTATACCATTTTGGTTCATTGGGTCACACTTAGAGCATTTTCTACATAGATAATATTTGAACCACTGAGTTCACATTCGTATTTGGTATAGCCAACGAATTAATTATCATAGCTTTCTCCTAGTTACCTTTGAACTATGCTGACTGAAAAACCTAGCATGGACTTTGACTTTCAGACCTTGGGTGACTTGTAGCTGTCTCCAATACTCCAATTCATCTAAAAATGAGATGGACAGATACAACCAAACAACAGGGCCAGTCACTCACGGACCAGGTGGTAACAGCCCCAGTGGAGAAATAAAGATCTATGGTGTCTCTCCCCACCAAGGGCTCACTTAATAAGGCCTTGCTTCCTAACTAGAACACATCTAAGCAGGAAAGATTTCTTTGGTGATTAGTGCCTTTTGAATGTACTCTACTTCTAGCTCAGCAGTGGATCAACAGTCCATCTCTTTCGCCATATAGTTAGAAGATAGGAACCAGTTACAGAATGTCTGTACATGGCTCAATTCAGGGAACTTCTATTAGACATCACTATTCCTTTCCAGAAGCAGGTTCTCCAGCCTCTTCCATGGGGGCTGGCAGCAGGTAAAGCATATGCTCTGACGATGGGGTTCCATTGGCTAGGCTCCTGTTACATTTGTGTTACCAGTGGCTGGAGTGATCTCCTTTATAAAGTAGATGATTAATAAACATTTGCCAAATGAATTAATTTATTCTTAGTTTCACTGATCTAACTACTAGAAACCCTAAAGTCCTCTTAAACTCTCTGTGGTTCTAGATAATAACTGCCACTAATATCATATCCTTCCAATATTCTCCTTTCTTTTCTCTTTTTCCATTTGTGATAAAAATCACAGTTGAGACCAAACGAACAAGGGAATAAAAATTGCTATCTTGAGTAGCTATTCTGTTGTCACTAAGATAGTGATATGCCTGTGAAATGATTGGAATTCTGCCATGAAAATAGGGGGTCATATTTTACCAGTGCCTTTGGAATATTGATATGGGCTAAACAAAGGAAGACTTGGAGGTGTTGCTGTGAGGACTTGGTATAGTTGTCACATAAGGACCCTGATCTATATGCATCCATATATTGACCATCTCTAGTACTTATAGATTGCCGGGAAGAATTTTGTGGCCTGGAAGGTACTTAATTATGTTGCTGGTGGTGTGGAGAGCTGTACCATTTGATAGACTAGAAAGGCTACGGGCATGACAACCACACGGACACCCAAGTGTTACCTCCATACCCCAAAACTATTTCGTACCTTCCACTTCCAGTCTATATACAAAACTGGCCCCTATAGGAAATTCATAGTAACAGGAACAAGGCAGACAAGAGAGCAGAGACATTAGGGCAGTTTGCCATCTCAGCCAGCTGCTTTTAGTTCTTTCTCCTTTAGAGAAAGCCTACAGCTGATGACTGAGGACACTTGACTGAATAGGGAGCAGATAAATTTGATCATAGTGACTGGAAGAGCTGAGACTCAAACTTAGGTCTTCTGATCCTAAGTCCACTGATAATGGTTATAGATTTTGTTGGTGTTCGGCTGTTTTGGGAAGAATATGGATTTGAGGACTCCTCTCAGAAACCTTCCCAAAACAGTCACTTAATCCCTTTGTGCTTTAGCGATCTCATCCATAAAATGGAGGCAATAATACTTATCCTGTCCACCTCACTACATTGTTATGAAAACGAAATGAGCTAATTTTAGCTACCAAAAATACCTAGATAAACCTGTGCTCAGAAAAGGGATGATAAGCCACCTGGTAAGGGAGGGAACAAAGACTATGATCAAATTTATCTGTTCCCTATAGGGGCCAGCTGTTTCCTTAATCCATTCAGACTATTCATGAGACTTGATTGACTCAGGGGACTCAAGGCTCAGGCTGTTGACATCACTTCCTAGTTACCTGAGTACAAAGCAGCCACGAGGAAGTGCAGGCACTCTGCTGCTTGACCAACCTCCATAGGCAGCTGAAGCAAGGGAGCTTCATGCAGCTTGATAAACATGGGATGTACTCAATGTATAACCTGTTTAATATCTTCTTGCTAGGGCTAAACTGCTAAGTGACTTCTGAGTATCTCATGTTGTTCCCTTGTTAAACCTAAACTACAGGAAACTGGCCTGAATCAGTCCTGCTTCAGAACACCAAGCAATTAAATGGTATAGTGCTTCAATGTGTTTTCTTGTCATCTTAAGATGTGGCATATCTATATTTTTTCTGAAATTATACTACCTACTACTAGAGGGAGGGGTCGGGGGGAATGTTATGATCTGGGATTACATTTACAGACCTTAAGGATATCTCTATCCTTAAGGATATATCCCTAGGATATGGGAAATCCTGTGAATTTGGTGAGTCAGTCTGAAAGACACAGAGAATCACGCTGATCTAAAGCATAGAGGATTTAATGTAGTTGAATAGTGCCAGTTGCCTCACTGATGCTCTCTTATGATCTCATTTCATTGATTCCTATTGTTTTTCTGTTTCTAATTTTTTCTGTTTTGTTGGGGTTTTTTTTGGCTTTTTGGTCTCCTACTTTTATCTAGGTCTCCTACAGATCTCCTTATTGATGATGGTATTTATGACCTGGGGACATAATATTTAAAAGTTACAGTTAATGTCATTTTTACAAAATTCTAAATGTAAACTTTAAACTAAGATTATTTAGAATTAATGAAAAAGTATTTATTAAATACTGTATGCAAAGCACTGTGCTAATTACGAAAGACATTGCAAATATCTCTTGAGTAATAATAGATGTAAATATTGCTGTTTTATTTCATAAATTGCTATGCTGACTTCTTCTTTTCGATATCCTAGGAAGATATTTCATATAGTATATCAATAGAAGGGAGATTGTACACTTTACACCTCAAAAAAAGGTAAATGTTTATCCCCTTGGGTTAATTTTAACTAATCTTAATTACAAATAAGCCAACCCTAATTAACTGTGAAATGAGTGTGAATGAAGAATTGAGGATGACACTGAGATTGGAACCCTGGGTGACTAGAAGGATGGTGGTGGTCTCAATAGTTATAGGGAATTTGGGAAGAAAAAAGGGTTTGGGGAGGAAGATAATGAGTTAAATTTTGGACATGATCAGTTTGAGATGTCTACAGGTATCCAGTTTGAGATGTCCAATGGGCAGTTGGTTATGTAAGCCTGGCATGCAATAAGTGCTTAGTAAATGCTTATTGATTTTACTAGCAGGGAGGACTGAAGTCAGAGCTGGATAAATAGATCTGAGAATCATCTGCGAAGATAATTGAACCCATGGAAGCAGATGAGATCACCAAGTGAGATAGAAAAGAGAAGAGAACCCAGGACAGTCCCTTAAGGGTCATGCACTGTTTGAAGATACAATAAAGAAGACTGAGAAAGGGTGGTCAGAGACATGGGAAGAGACCCAGGAAAGCACAGTGTCATGCAAACCTAGAGAGAAGGAAGTATCCAGAAGTAGAAGATGAACAACAGTGCCAAAGGCTACAGAGAGGTCAAAAAGGAGGCCTGAGAAAAGGCCTGTACATTTGGCAATTTAAAAAATGAGTGGTAACTTTGAAAAGAACAGTTTTAGTTGAATGATGAGGTTGGAATTCAAACTACAAAAGATTTAGAAGAGAGCAAAGGGAGAAGCAGAAGCACTCACTGTAGCCTGCTTTCTCAAGGAGTTTAGTCACAAAAGAGAGGAAAGATAGAGAATGATATTTAGAGGGGATAGTAGGATCAAGTGAAGTTTCTTGAGGATTTGGGAGATGTGGGTGTGTTTGTAGGCAGCAAGGAAGTAGCTAATAAAATTGAAAATTAGAGAGTGAGAATGATAGAAGGAGTAAGTTGCTGGAAAAGGCAAGAAAGGGTAGAATCAAACATACATGTAGAGGTGATTACCTTGGCAGGAAGAAGGGCTGCTGCTTTGTGTGAAACCAGTGAAGGGGAAGATAGTGAAGGGAGGAATCTGAGGAATGTGAAATGAGGAAGAGGTAGAAGACAGAAACCTGGGCAAATGGCCTCAGTTTTTTCAGTGAAGCATGAGATAAAGTCCTCAATGAAGAAGATGGGAGTAGGGGATATGAGAATTCTGAACAAAGAAAAAGAGATTTAGAATAGCCACTACGGTGCATGGAATAGTGTATGAATTAGGGATGTGTAAAAGGATTACTTTGCCACAGTGAGAGCCCAGTTGAGATTATGTAACAGACTTATAACGGACCTAGTCATCACAGTTCCATGATTTTCTCCAACTCCATTCATCAACAAATAGGAATAAAGACAACAGATGGTGTGTGTGTGTGTGTGTGTGTGTGTGTGTGTTGATGCGTGAGCATGTGCATGGGATAATCCATCTCTTTTGTTTAGATGAGGTGGTATGGAGAAGTAGGTAATAGGAAATAAGAAACCAAAAACCTGAGAAGTTTGAGAAAGTTTCAATGTGATTCCATAGTATGAGGCCAAGAGCCTTTTCACTGATAGCAGTGGAGTGAAATGATTCTGGTTTAGTCTATAGAAAGAACATCAATATTTATGATTCAGCTCCTCCCCCAATGTCTGTACCGTGGTACATGGACAAGGATTTTGTTTATTGAGTACCAGTAGGCAAATTAAAGTTTTTTGATGTTATAAAAACTTTGTGATTTTTAACCTCTTTGTTCTCTTGTCTTCCACTTTGATACTAGCATTGCAGAAGCAGAAGGGGGGGGGGCCACACGAAACTGAGAATCATTTAAAATTTTGTTTCATGGGTTGCCATCACCAAAAAAATTCCTCAACAGGTGGCCAGCTTACAAATGATATGCATTTTCATAATCAGCAAGTTTGGTTTTCAGAAAACAGAGTCAGTATGTTTCTGGTGCCAAACTCAATGTCTTTCTAGCACAGTAGAACCTTTCAGACCTTATGGTCCCCTGACATAACCTTTGAGAAGCCAGGGTCATCTCCATGCTATAAGACATTAGTGTAGGACTTCATAGACATTTTCTCAATGGAGGGCAGTGAACCATAACATTTGGAACCTAATATTACAGTCCCATATGTGCTTATAGAGGAGGTAGAAATGACACTTAAGAGACCAGAGGGAGGAAAAGCTGCCAGATTGGATCAAGTATATATAGAGGAGATCTCTGCTAAAGGCAATACATTTGTGAGAGCATTAAGCAATCAAAAAACGGGGTATCTGAAGGAGGGGAAGATATTAAAGGATATCAAACAAATTTTGTATCATATTAATAATACAAAAAAGGCAACCAAAAGAAATACTAAACTGTATGCCTCCTGCCCCATCTCTACAGAATCCTTTTGAGTATCATTTATACAGTGCAGAGCCAAGATGGCAGAGAAGAGGCAGGGATTTGCCTTAGCTCTCCCAGATTCCCTACCAAACAACTTTAAATAACATCTCAAAACAAATTTTGGAGTGCCAGAACCCACAAAAGGATGGGGTGAAACAATTTTCTAGCCCAAGACAGCTTAGAAGTTTGGCCAAAAAGATCTATCACATTGGTGTGAGAGTAGAGCACAGGTGGGGCCCCAGCAAACCAAGAACAGACATTGGGAACAACTGAATCGGCAGTGGCAATGGCAGTGGCTGCTTCTGGAACTCTCAGGCTAAATAAAGCAAGGGAGTTGCACACCTGGTTAAAAGGAGGTTACAGAGGTCTCTTTGCTGGCAGTGAGAACAGGACTCTGTTGCATTGCCCACACTTGGATCCAGGTTACAGTCATAGAAGCTGCACTAGCAGACAGTGCTTGAGGCATCAGGGGACTGGGGACCCTGCTCACAGTTCTAGGGCAGAAAAGAGTACTTGTGTACTCTTACCCAAGGTGTACAGACCACAAAAATAGTAAACACACTTCTCCTTAGCTCATACCACCTTGGAAGAACTGAAAGCTTACAGACCATCTGAAAATGGCTGCACAAAAATCCTGAAGCTTGGAACAGTGCCCTCCCCACCCTGGGAGCAAAGCCCAACTTTAATATAAAGTTTAAAGTAAAAAGTAGGCTGGAAAAATGAACATATGACAAAAAGAGTCCTGATTGTAGAAAATTACTATGGTGACTGGGAAGATCAAAACACAAACTCAGAAGAAGGTAATCGAGTCAAATCTGCTTCATCCAAAGCCTCAAAGAAAAATGTGAATTGGTCTCAGGCCATGGAAGAGCTCAAAAAGGGTTTTAAAAAGTAAATAAGAGAGGTAGAGGAAAAATTGGGGAAAAAATGGAGGTGTTGTAAGAAAATAATGAACAAAAGAGTCAATAGCATGGTAAAGGAGGCACCAAAAATACTGAAGAAAATAACACCTTAAAAAACAGACTAGGCCAACTGGTAAAAGAGGTATAAAAAAAACAGTGAGGAGAAGAATTCATTGAAAAATAGAATTGGCCAGATGGAAAGAGAGGCACAAAAATTTACTGAAGAAAAGAACTCAAAATTAGAAGTGGTCAAATGGAAAACGCAGCACAAAAGCTCAATGAAGAAAATAATTCCTTAAAAAGTTATAATTGGGATGGAAGCTAATGACTCCATGAGACATAAAGAAGCAATAAAACAAAGTCAAAAGAATGAAAAAATGGAAGAAAATGTGAAATATCTTGCTGGAAAAATACTGACCTGGAAAATAGAGAAGAGATAACTTAGGAATTATTGGACTACCTGAGAGCCATAATTAAAAAAAAAAAAGCTTGGATATTATCTTTCAAGAAATTATCAAAGAAAACTGTCCTGATATTCTAGAATCAGAGGGTAAAATGGAAATTAAAAGAATCCAGTAATCATCCCCAAATGAGATCCCCAAATGAAAACTTTCAGGAATATTATAGCCAAATTCTAAAACTCCCAGATCAAGGAGAAAATACTGTAAGCAACCAGAAAGAAACAGTTCAAATATCATGGATCCACAGTCAGGATAATACAAGATTTAGCAGTTTCTACATTGAAGGATCAGAAGGCTTGGTATATGATTTTCCAGAGAGTAAAAGAGCTTGGATTACACCAAGAATCACCTACCCAGTAAAACTGAGTATAATCCTTCAGAGGAAAAAATAGACATTCAGTGAAATAGAAGACTTTGAAGAATTCCTGATGAAAAGACCAGAGATGAAGAAAAAATTTGACTTTTAAATAGAAGACTCAAGAGAAGCATAAAAAGGTAAACAGGAAAGAGAAATCATAAGGGACCCAATAAGGCTAAATTCTTTACATTCTTCCATGGGAAGATGATACTTGTAAGTCATAAGAACTTGCTTATTATTAGGGCAGTTAGGAATGTACATAGAGAGCATGAATGTAGTTGAATATGTTGGGATAATTTTTTAAAAAATAAAAGCAAAGGATGAGAAAGAGGAATGCACTGGGAGAAAGGGAAAGGGAAAGGTAAGATTCAAGCATTTCCCACACACACATCTCCGTCTTCCCCTCCATGGTAGTTGAATCTTACTCTCATCAGAAGGAGGGAATAACATACACACTTTATTGTGTTTAGAAATCTATCTTATGCTACAGGAAAGTAGAAGAGGAAGGGAATAGAAGAAGGGGAATATTGTCAATAGAAGAGAGGGTGGATTGGGGGAAGTGGTATTCAGAAGCAAAACACTTTTGAGGATGGACAGGGTGAAATGAGAGAGAATAAAAGGGGAAAAACAGGATGGAGTTAGAATCATAACTGAAAAAAATTTTACAACAGGTTTCTCTGATAAAGGCCTTGTTTCTCAGATATAGAAAGAACTGACTCCAATTTATAAAAATAAGAGCCATTCAACAGGCAGTCAAATGAAGTAATCATAGCTAACTATAATCATGAAAAAATGCTCTAAATCAGTATCGATTAGAGAAATGCAATTTAAAACAATTCTGAGATACCAACTCACACTTATAAGATTGGCTAATATGA